AGAGATGCCTGGACCCAGGTCTCAGGGCTGTCAGCTTAATTTCAAATCATGTCATTTAGCCATACCCTGGTTGGTCTTTACAAGCCCCTGTTTACTGTGTGCTTAGGTCTAAATAAAGGTTCTTATAGCACTTCAAATTTTGAAGGGGTTTGTAACACTTACATTTTCATTATCTCCAAAGGATCAGGACCACTCTCTAGCTCTCCTCTCCAGAGAGCAAATGCATGTGGGAATGTGGAATCCTTTGCTAGACTTCAGCAAATGTTATCTGTTCAGTGCAGTCATTCTGCTCTCTGGGGCTCATTTGCTCCTGCTCGTTCCTTTTTAGTGCACTCCCCTCATGGCCATCATTGTTACAGACTTGATGGCCATACCTTCCTTCTGATAAAATTCATTCTCTAAAGTTCTAGCTTAAGTCACTAATTATCCCAGTATAACACAAAATTTCAAAGATAATGCTAATGAGCCTTAAGGATTATCTCATTATATGTATCACCAGTAGTATTGGTGTACACACACACACACACACACACACACACACACACACACACACACACGTATGTCTATGGACTACTTTGTAACAATAAGTATTTCCACCAAGCTGCCTGAGCCCTGCCACCACATGGGCACTTTCCACCAGGCCACCCGAGTTCTGCCTGCTGCCACATAAGGTCCCAAATAACACACAGAGACTTATTAGGTACAAATGACTAGGATTTCTCATCTGCTAGCTCAGTCTTAATGATCATAAATCTATATATTTTATAAGACTTATCTTATGGAGGATACCTTTCGCTGGCACCCTCTCTTGCTGGTGGATCACATGGCAACTCCAGAGCAGAGACCAGGAGGAAGAGCAAGAGAAAAGGGAATGATTTCCTTCTTGTCCTTGCTTATTTATGAGTCTGCCTGCTATGTAACTTCCTGTGTGGATCTCAAGACTTCTTTACTATATTTCCCAGAATCCTCCTTGACTTCTAGTCCCACCTATCTTGTTTCCCTATTGGCCAACAGTACTTTATTTATCAACCAATAAGACAAACATATACACAGAAGGACCTCCCCCATCACTACTTATTATATTCCATGAACTTGGCTGGAAACTTCACATGTTCTCTCATATTTTGGGTCTTCAATGCCTTCTTTGCTTTTGGTCCAAAGATTACACAGGGGCATTCCTTAACAAATGAATATCCCTCCAAGAGAAAATAGAAAAAAGCCACATTCAGAAAGATGAATACCATATTTTCATATGTAGAATGTAGAATATATGTGTACATGAAAGTAAAAAATGTACTATTTGTGGGAATGAAGGGGAGCTAATGAGAAGAGGGAGAAGCAAGGGGGTAATGGAGGAAAAGACAAATGTCACATTTTGTCATATGCAGAATCTAGATTTTACATACAAATATATTATATATAACATTAAAGCAAAGGAGAACAGGTGGGAACAGAGGGGACAAAAGAGGGTAATGGATATAGATGTCCATGTATGAAAGGGCTATAATGAAACCCAATATTTTGTGTGCTGGTTTTTAGTTAATACAATTTTTAAAGCATGAAAGTAATTTCTCCTATAATTTTCTAAATTACTATGATTAAATAATTAACATATTACAATGTGCAGTCATGTGGTATATTCTAATACTTAATAAAGGGTATAATGAATGCCTGCATAGACCTTAGTTGATAGCACTGATTTTTCTGGTCAGAGTGCTAGATTTTTTTCTTTAGGAAAGAAAGTGACTAAACGTGGGATTTTTGTGTAACCTGACAAGGCCAACAAGAAAGATATATTTGGTCTAAAAGTATTTTATGGACTTCAAATTATAACAATAACTGGCTTCCTGTGCCATCACTAAGCAAAGTCAGTTACAGTAAAAAATATGCTGAGGTCAAAACAATACTCAACTCTGACAACTGTGGCCCCCTCTCTCTCTAGAAACAGTGTGCACAACATGGGAGGTAGAGATAAAAACATAAAATTAGCTTGTTCTTAGAGAGTGGGTCCAGTCTCAATTTAAAAAAAAAAAAAAAAAAAAAACGAAGCAAAATCCCAGCTTTTAGAATAAGGGGGAAAGTAGGAATGTGCAAATTAAATAAAGCTAAGTTGTTAAAGGTTAGCCAGTTTCTCCTGGTAGTGTTATAAGCAAGTGGCACAGTCATTCTCTGGTCCCACAATATTTAGATGTTTTATTTCAGTCACACAGTGGGAGCTGAGAACAAACGTGGGTAAACCAGACACAAAATACCAAATACCTTCACACGACACAATCCAGGCCTCCCTCTTTCCCTTCAGTGCTGAATCATAAGTTATGTCTGGACCAGAGCTGTGAAGAATGTCATGGTAGCTCTGGCATTATTGGTGGCTGGGTATACACTCACATATACATGCACAAACACAGATACACAGACACACACAGACACACACACACAGACACACACACACAGACACACAGACACACACACACACACACACACACACACACACACACACACACACCAGAAAAGCACCAACATTCTAGAAACACCATCATCATGGCTGTTGTGTGTTTTCTATGATCACAAAAAAACCAAACAAACAATAAAAAAAACCCGCTTCTAGAAACCCAAGAGCTTGAAATGTTTGCCTGTTATTTCCTTGTTTCTGATTATTGGATCCAAGCACAGTATACCTGGGTTTCCAGCTGCAGATCTGGGCAAGCTAGAATCAAGATATCTGGTTAGGTCACTCAGTGAGTGCTCAAGTTCTATTCCTGCCTTCTTGAAGGCTGTCAGTGAAGTCTGCCTGAAGTCCCAACCTACATTCCCATAGCAAGATAGCTTGTTTCTTCAAGTCAGTACAAGTCTCTCTCTTTCTCTGTGTGTGTCTCTGTCTCTGTGTGTCTCTGTCTCTCTCACCTCTATTTTCTCTATCTGTGTGTATCAATATATATTTGTGTGTGTACACCCTCCTTCCTTTCCTCTCTGTCTTCTACATCAGAGACAGTCTTATGTCACAGTATAACCATGAGGTAGCTTCACTACCATCACCTTATCTCTCAGCAAAGGGACTGACTCTCTCATTACAGGCTCAATTGCACATAAACACAGGACTTGCAATGTGTATGTGGAAGATGGAACCATCCAAAATTCTGCCTATACATATTACTCAGAACAAGGGTTATACATGACTGGAGAACCAAGAAGTAAAATGTAAATAGATTCAAGACCCAAAAATGAGGTTTCCTAAGGGGAAGAAAACAGTCTATTAAGAAACCTATAAATGTCTACCAAGTAGACTGCCCAGTAGAGTCTCAATGTACCTTTTAATATTGCCTACTAGAGATGCAAATTACCACACATATCAGTAACAGAGTGCCAGAGATTAATGGATAACTGTATGAAAGAGGCATATGCCTAATTTTTAGCAGCCTCTAAATCCAATTTCCCACGAAATCCCCATATTTGTTTTTTGGGGTTGTTTTGTTTTGTTTTGTTTTCCAACTACACTCCTTTTTGTCAGGTAATACATCCAATAGCCAGCTACAAGCCAAGGTGGCCACATGGAATTCTCTGTATTACAAAGAGAATAAAACTTAGTATCTATATTACAACACTAACATTCTCTGGAATAACCATAAAATGAACACATGATGAAGTTTCATTGCTGGTGTGCAAACTCCATAGAAATACCCCACTTTGGATACAACTGAGACTGCGAATGGGAGGGTTCCTTCTCTCCTTTGACTCTGGACATTGTCTACAAAAGTGAGAGAAGAGTCACCCCCACAACTACATTGTGTTAGGAGGAGGTTGGAGGAGCAGGATGGGAGGGTCCTTTGGTGACTGTAAGGGAATGAGTAGCAATATGTGAGCAATAAATGACAAACTGTGTTGCAACTTTTAGAACTGAGTGTAACTCCAGGCAAACATTCAGCCACAAAATGGGGAGCTCCTACTGTGAAGATCTGAATTCCCCAGACAATCTTAAAGGCTTCAAGGATTACCCTCAGTCTCAGAAATCACCGGTGACATCTTTAGTTTGGCTCTGAGTAGAAGATCCCACTAATCTGTAACTGGCAACCTGAACAATAAAAATAGGATGATAACAAATATGTGTTGCTAAGCTGCTCACTGATAACTTTCCATGCACTATTGAAAAGTAACTTATAATAAAATGCACAAATAAAATAAATGGGCAAAATAAGTTTTAGAAACTTTCCAGTAACTGTCAGGCTCATAGAAATGACTCCATTAAATATTGACTAAAGGTCAGAGAGTTCAAACCTAGCCTTGCTCTTTCAATGTTAAAGGCCTAAGACCTAAAGGTCTAACATGTGGCTTAAGGTGTGCTCAATGATGCCTTCCCTAGATAACCGAATAGTTGATCTAAGATATGCTGACAAGATGACTTAATCTTCAAGGCCAAACAACAGGTTTGATCTAAGGTGTGGTTACTAGATACTTAGAGAATTAAGGAAGTAATTACATCTGTTTTTTCCTTGTATCATTGGTAAGAAAGTCTTTCTGCCCCTCCCCCTTTGGTTGGGGCATATAAGAACTTTGAGCAATAAACTAGGGCAGATATCAGTATTCACTGGGCGCCCTCCCAACATTATCTTCTGTCTCTAGCCTGTTTCTTTCCTCAATCCGTACTCCCCTTCTCAGGTATGAACCAAACTCATTAGCTGGACTGAACAAGTAACAATTCTCAAAAGCTAAAACTTAGGTCATCTCCAAGAGTTATAACATCTTCAGGCTTTTACATGTTCTGAAGACTAAAATACATACAAGCACACATGTCTTCATGCACAGCCACCCCAGCACTGAAAATGCCAAACCCAAACAAAAAACTTGCAAGTGTTTTAAGAAAGCCAAGCCGATGTGGATTTGACCTTGTAACTTCAACAAGGTGAAATGATTATCTGAATGATTGTCAGCAGGCATGGTGTGTGTGTGTGTGTGTGTGTGTGTGTGTGTGTGTAACATGCACATGTTTAGAGGCAAAGAGCACTTACTCTGAAAGTTGTTCACTGAGAAGACACGGGGATGATAGAATCCTGCTTTGCAGATACACTGATAGGCTCCAAGAACAAATCCTAGGCCTTTGATTGGCATACACTACGGAGAAGAAAAGACAGCAATATAATCGGTCACAGTATTGCTCACAACAGGAAAACTCACTTATCTATCATTGCAAATGTTATCAGAACCAGTACATTTTCTAACAATAAAATATTTCCAATTTGAACTTTTGTTTTAGGTTTGTTTGCTAGCAGCCACATTTTTTTTTAAGAAGTAACAAAGTTCTATGCCTGGCAGGGATGGCGCTCGCCTTTAATTCCAGCATTTGGGAGGCCGAGACAGACAGATCTCAGTGAGTTTGAGGCCAGCCTGGAATACAGAGTGAGTTTCAGGACAGGCTCCAAAGCTACAGAGAAACAACAACAATAAAGTAACAAAGTCCCCATTTCTAAGCATACACCATCCTTTTCCTTTTTAAAATTTAAATTATAAACAATCTTATATATCAATCCAAGTTCCCTCTCCCTCCCATGCCCCCCCACTAACCCCACCCCATCTCTCTTCTGCCTAGGCCCTC